CTGCCGTTCAGCCCTGGACTGCCAACATCTGCGAATACATGCTCACCTCATTCTTTCTTCAAGGAGCCTAGCACTGTGCCCACCCAGAGATGCCTGTTGACTTGAAGTTCTTTTTTCTTTTTTTGGTTTTTGAGACAGGGTCTCACTATGTAGTTGAGACTGACCTGGAGCTCACTATGTAGACCAGGCTGGTCTCGAACTCACAGAGAGCCTCCTGCGTCAGCCTCCCGAGTGCTGGGATTATAGGCATGTGCCACCACCCCCGGCGACTTGAAATTCTTAAGAAATTAAGAGGATGTCAAGGCCCTGTGTCACTGGCTGACTTTCTGAGTCTCCCCTTACATGGTGGATGGGCATGGTGGACCCTTCTGTCTCCTTTCTAGGCGTGGACCAGGGCATGGAGTTGGATTCTTGAGGATTTAGTCTCTGAAGCCACCATCCAGTCGGGAGTGGAGTTTGGCCAATTCTGCATTGGTGGGCAGTCTTACAATGGGCTTCTGAGACCCAAAGGACCGCAGTTCCAGGTTCTAAGTTCCCTGCCAATGCTGGGCTGGGTCTCTGAGGTCTGTTTGGGAGCCTTCACAGTGGACTTTGCTGCAGAATCCAAGGAAGTTCAGGCCCTGACCCTTTTCTCTGTGGTCTGCCGACAAAATTATTCTCCCTACCCCCAAACTCTGCTCTGTAACAAGGTGTGGTTTTCTTTCCCACCACGCCATGTGCACGTGACACCCGTGAGTCCTGTAAGATGCCCTTGGTGTGGTCCAGATGGTGCAGCCTCAGCCACCCCGCAGGCTGGATGCCACCTCTCAGGAGGAAGAAGCACTCTGTGATGATGGCTTACATGCATTGCTGCTGCTCTTCTTATGTGCAAAGCATTGTCACTCCCGCCAGGACCAGGAAGGGGACACTGTAACTCTGCTATTTTACAGAGGAAACTGAGGCACCAATGGTCAGCCAAGACCGAGCCGGAGCATATCAGAGCAGAAGCTGGGAAGCAAGAGCGACCCAGAGTCCAGGGTGGTTGACACCAGTTTCCTGGGGACCCGGAGTGAGGGACAGGCATGGGGTGGAAACTTTAGGGTGGTGGTATTTTTCAGAGGGTCTCATCTTCAACAGCGGCAATGCAGGCTTCTGGGAGATGCATGGAGCCCCAGAGACAGAGGATAAGAGGTACACTGCAGGTATGGCTTGGATGTAGCTTTTTTCCAAATGCATGTACTGGAGATCTGGTTCTAATATAACTGTTGAGAGGAGTTAGGCCTTTAAGAGGTGACTAAGTCATGAGGTCTTCACCCTTGTGAAGGGATTAATGCAGTTCCCTTGACAGGGGGTTAGTGAGCCTGGGCACCAGTTGTGATAAAAGGAGCTTAGCTTCCTCAGCTTTGTTTCCTCTCTCTCTGTGTCGCCTCTCTCCCACAAGTGCTGCTTCTCCTTCTGTTTTGCCACCATGCACCAGAAACCAAGCAATGCTAGCACTGTGCTCTTGGCCCTCCAGATTCAGGAGCTGAAATCTATTTCTATTCTTTATAAATTTCGCGGTCCCAGGTATTTTGTTAAGCAACAGGTAATGGGCTAAGACACTCGCTAGGAGTTCTCAGCATCAGGCTTCGGTTACTCAGGTGACCTGGAGGAGGAAGAAGTTTCCAGTGACTCATAGACAGGGGTGGTGGAACCGGGAAAGGGGGTCTTGTGGATGCCCTTTCCCCAGAACTCCCGGATGTCAGGCAGATAGCTGACTTCCTGACACCCCTTGCTAGAGAGGTGGGTCCCTGAGGTTTCTTTGGTGAGGCTGCCCTAGCAGTGTCGGACAACAGAGCCTGACAGGTGCACACAGCATGGACCCTCCCACTGGTCACCTTAAGCCGTGTCCTCAGACTGAGATTCTTGCAGTTAGGATTTGTTGAGTAAGTACTTTCTGGAGAAATCCCTGTAGGAAAATGGGAAGGGGCCTTTCTATGAGGAAGAAAACAGGCAAAGACCATCTATTTACAGCCACCCCTCAAGGTAGCTGAGTTCCTGATTTGGAAAATTGGACCTCACGGGCCCCAGCCTCATGTGCTACACCTCCTATGGCCAACAGTGGGGCTGCCTGGTGGGCTCCCCAGGGCCTGTTTGGCCCCGAGGTCTGCCCTGCTTGTCCTGGAGGCAGCAGCAAACGTCATGCCTGCTACACAGCACCAGCGGCCCCTCCAAGCCCTGGTGAATCTTAATGAGCAGAACTTCACAGCAGGAGGGTCATGTCTTGAAAGTCAGCATTGGCAGCAAGCAACTGAGGCAGCATCATGGCCAAACCTCCCAGCAAGAGCTGGCTGCTTTTCTTAGGACTTCGCAGCCCCACAGCTTGGAAACAGCAGATGCCCCAAACCACTGAGAGGCAGTTGCCAATGTATGTCCCAGGCTCCCCGAGAGGATTCTGACCAGGGGCTTCCTCCCAGCCCCCACGGTCCAGTGGCAACCACTCATCCAAATCTGCTTTGGTCATTTTCCTCCTGGGCTTTGTGCCCATCCAAACACAATCTCAGCAGGACTCTTCAGGCTTCTTCCCTGAGAAGAACGTGACATTCTTTTTCAGAGCTCAACAAATGCAAATAAATAATTCACTGTATTTGTTCAGGCCAAGGACTGTGTCTCACTTTGGCGGGCCTGTTGTTCAGCTTGCCTTTGTAGGATCCCTGGGAGGGGGGATATGCATACTGCATGTGTGTGTGTGTGTGTGTGTGTGTGTGTGTGTGTGTGTGTGTGTGTACATGCTAGCAGTAGGGAGAGTCTGATAAGGGGAAAACCACTGTAGAATTCAAGATAAGCTTTATGGGCTTTATGGCTAACATATGGCACTGCATTTTATCCAAACGGCAACCACCTTTTGCTGCCACATTTTCCTCAGTTCTAAGAAAAGTCGCAGACTGACGGTATTTATGATTTCAAAGCCAGAGAAGACACAGCTTGGGAACTGAAAACAGAGGCTGGAAGAGGCCACTCTGAGAGCTGGGAAAATTTCCAAATGCTTCCTACTGGGCTCAGGGATATAAAAGGTCAGGATTCTCTTTGATTTGAACAAAATCATTATGAAGAAGTTGGACAGTAGAATCCACATCATTCTCTGCTATGATAATATAATTGATTTCTCTCTGATGGCTGATTTAAACTTCTCTCTATCCCCTGTACCCTGTTTGAGGTTCCCGGTACCCGGAAGTCCTCCATCTCTGCCCAAATGCCCCGTTGTCCATGTGATACCCATCTTAACCAGTCCCTACTCACACTGACACTAGCAGAAGAGAGGAAGAGAGGTGACGTCCTGACTCATCTTGGCTTCCATTTTTCCTCCACTGAATGGGAACCACAGGATTTTTCTCCAACTCTGTCTGTAGTTGTTTTTGCAGAATCTTGCTGCAGGCAAAACGCTGCACATGAATGTTCACGGTGGCACAATTTGCAACAACCCCCCAAAAAAAAAAACCCAAACCCCAAATTGTGGTTTATTCCTATAAGAGAAGATGACTCAGTCACCAAAAGGTGTGACATAGTGACACGTGCTACAACACAGATGAACTTCGAAGACATTTTATGAACTGAAATAAAGCAGCCACAAAAGACTTCATGGTGTGTGGTTCCATTTAGGATTCAGACCAGGTAAATTCATAGAGACAGAAAGTAGGTTCTGGCCAAAGGTTTGAGGGATGGGAAAATAGGAAATGACTGCTCAGTGTGTACAGGGTTTTCTTTTGGGGTGATAGAAATATTTCAGAACTAGTTTGTTATGTGACTTTCAATTTCACTTAAGAAAAAATTATCGAAGACCTACTCCTAATTTGGGCAGTGGGGCCTCCTCATTCCCCACTCACTCCTGGGTATTCTAGGACTGGTCCTTCACCCTGATGGTCGGTGGACTGACAGAGATGCTCTCTATGTCATTACCACTACCTCACCGCTTGGGACTGTCAGCTCCAGCCCTTTCCGGCTGTGTGAGTGGCCCCAGTACTCCACCTGTGAGCCTTCAGCCTCCTCGTCCGTATGATTTTCAGAGTTGATGGGCGAATGAAAGGCGAGGAGGCAAGGAAAGCTCTTTCATAGCAGGCAAGTTAGATATAACAATCATTTTTATACTCTAAGCCGCACTGGGACCAAAAAGCAGAAATCTTTTTATATGGTAGCTGTAAGCCTCCTGTCCACCAGGGGGAGCCCTCAAAAGGAGCCCACCACCAGTTTTAACAGGAATCTGTTTCCTGGAACCTCTCTTTCTTCTGCTGCTTCATTGGTGCCTCTGCCCTCTGGTTGATGGCTTTTGGACCCTGAAGCTCTGCAGTTTTAAACTCACACCACAGTTGACAACGTTTTTCTGGGCCATACTATTTACAAACATAGGTCGCAGGCCAAATCCAAACACAGACTGCTGACCGATTCTGTACACCTCTGAAGCTAATTTTTTTTTTCATTTTTAAATGGGTGATTTTAAAAAGAAGAAACATGTGACATGCAAGAGTTAAATAAAATTCATATTCTAGTATCTATGTATAAAGTTCTGTTGGAACACAGCCACATTCCTTGTGTGTTATCTATGGCTTCTTTTGAACTACAATGGCTGAGCTGAATAGTTTTTCTTTTTGTACTGGGGATCGAACTTGGGTCCTTGCACTTGCAAGGCAGCAGCAGAACAACTGAGCTAAATCCCCGGCCCTGAGCTGAGTAGTTTTAACAGAAATGATGACTCACAATACCTAAAACGTTCATCATCTTGTCCTTTAAAAAGTTTGTTGTTGCTGCTGATACCAGCTCTAAACAAAGTTAGGAAGCAAAGTCACTCATGACTTCATGTTTGACCTCATGACTCATGTCCTGAGTGTCAGCATATTTTTATGGCTATCTGTGGGTCTTCTTTCATCTGTAAAATGGGGATAATTGTGCTGTATCATGAAGTCATTGTGAGGACTAAAAGACTTAGTACATGATGAACATCTAGACAGTACCTGGAATTATAAGTGCTCAGGAACTGTGAATTTTAGTTACGTGTAGACTCGTTAACATATAGATATGAATTCAAATAAGTATAGAACAAAAGGAGCTCTACTCTCTTAATTTATTTTGGGATGTGCTGTAAACAGTTTGAACTTCGACAGCTTTCTGGCTTCACCAGTCTTGGGTGACACGACAAATTCTCCTTCACAGAAGGTACAAGTGAAACAGGCCTGGAGGGACATTTTGGATCCTCCCTTCTTCAGAAAGTGTGATCACATGAAGATGCATCTGGTTGTCAGTAGAACTGGCCCATGTTTCTCGGAAGTGAGGTGTCCAGACCACTGTTCATCCATATTTCCTGAATGATTTGCTCCCTGCGCTCAATCCTTTCTGCCAGTTCTGCAGCCTCTATGGAGCTGTAGGCTGGATATGAAGTCCTATGAAACCCCGATAGTTCCCCTGGAAATTCAGAGTCAGAGGAGTCCTCCTCCTCCCTGGCGTCCTCACTGTCCTCCTCAGCCTTGTTGCTTCCTGGCACCAGGTGCTCCCTCCCCAGCCGCAGTTCCTGGAAGTCTTTGGTGCAGGACACTCTGATGACTAAGGCGCACAGTGTGAAGGCCAGGCCGATACAGATGCTGGACACAAATAGCAGGGCGGCTCTCTCAGGGTGGGCTGTGGGAGGAAGAGAGTACGTGAGTGGCTGGAAGGAGCGTCAGTCTTTACCATTCCAAATCACACAGGACCTATGCAGTCCTAGACAGCATCTTTGGAACCATCCACACGTAACTGATTCTGTCCTCCAGGGATTAAAGTTTTTGATCATAGTTAGATGCATGCACATCAGAGGACACACAAAAGAAGGACACAGGAGCCAGATCCCCCTTCAACTTAGACTCAGACCAGTAGTGGTCTACATCTAAAATGAGCCCCACAGCCTCATGTTTGGAAGGTGACTGGGTGGGAGAGGCGGGTCACTTGCGGGGGTAACCTGGTTGGTGTCTCCCTCCCACTTCCTCCTTCATTCTCTGCTTCTGGCCTCCATGACAGAAGCAGGTCCTCCCACCATGCCTTCCTGCCGTGGAGCCAGCCTGCCAGGCACTGTAATCATGAGCCAAAATAAACCTCCCCTCCTTTAAATTGTGGATGTCAGGCATTTTTTCCAGGAACAAGGCGATGGACACAGAGTTCATTCCTGTGAAGTGCTTACAATACTCCCTGGCACGTAGTAAGTGTTCAATCAAGTCTTAGCTATTAGTGGCTGTAGCTGATTATGCAGAATTAATTTATGCATGAAGTGTGTATCTGAACTTTCCCCCTTTGGTATTGGGAATTGAGCCCAGGCCCTCAACACATGCTAGGCAAGTGCTCTCCCACTGACTGTCATTGCCAGTGTTCACCTTTTCTTTGTGGTACTGGGAATAGGGCCCAAAGCTGCCTCTCTACTTCATTTTCTTTTTTGAGAAAGGGTTTTGTTGTTGCTGTTTTTTGTTTTGTTTTGTTTTGAGATAGGGCCTTTCTGTGTAGTGCAGGCTGGCTTTGGACTCATGGTGATCCTCCTGCCTCAGCCTCCTGAGTGCCGGCATGACAGGTGTGTGCACAACACCTGACCAATTCCCTCTTATTCTAGATCAGGAGTTGGCAAACTTGCTCGGTAAATGACCAGATAGTAACTATTTTGGGCTTTGTGGGCCATTTGGTCTCTGCTGCAGATATTCACCTCTGCTGTTGTAATGCAAAAGCAGCCAGAGATCTTACGTGAGGCAGAAATCATGGTTGTGTCCCAATAAAGCTTTATTTACACACTTGGGCCACACTTTGCCAGCCCCCTGATACAGATGCTCAATCTGGAGCCCAGAGGGAAAGCAGCTGCCTGAGCTCAGTGCAGAACCAGGACCGGAGTGCCGATCTTAAACATTGGGTGGGCTCCTTGCGGGGTTCACTTTGGTGCCCCTGCCTTTTCTCAGCAATCTCAGCTGGGGGAACCCCCTGCTAAGCACAGTGTCACTCCTTTGATTCCAGGAGAATAATGGAGACTTGTCTTTGCCATCCCTGTCCTTCCCCAGAGGTCCAGGCTGGAGTTTCAAAACTGCTAAATTTCACACTAGCCAAGGGATCCAGCTTATGCCAATGAGGTCTTATGGGAGAGGTGGAACTGGGGCGCCTTATCTTCCTGTAACTGGAAACCTCCCCGTCCACTTCCTTCCCCGCAGCTGCAGCCATTGCTGGACAGGCTGGACTTAGATGTGCAGCTCTTTGTTGTCACCACCCCCGCAGGGCCGTCTCATCACTCTTTGGGGCACAGATGTCTGAATTCAGCATTTATCTTGGCCGGAGGAAGGGACAGTGGGTTGCGTGTGTAGTGCTCTTAGCAACAGTGTGACTTTCTTAAGGGTCAGGTTTGTGACGGGATTTGGTCAGATAGAGACATGGATCCTCTGTGAGAGAAGCCGGGGCTGTTTCCACCTCCGGGAGTCATGGCAGATTGGAGATGTGGACGCAGTGGCACTTGAGATGAAGTCATTAAATAGTGGGGAACAAAGGCTCCTAAGACCCAAAGCCCTGGTCCTATAGATGGAGCTTTTCTCCTCCTCCCCTGTAGACCAAAGCCTGCTCTCTGACTTCACCCTCACCTCCCGCCGTAGCCTGGATGAGTGTCCCGAGTTCAGGTGTTGAAACGTAATCCGTGCAGTGAACCATTAGGAGGGTGGAACCTTAACCTGCCTACTCTTTGGAGTTGGGGCCTTTGAAAGATGATTAACATTAGACAAGGTCTTCAGGGTGCAGCCCCAGTGATTGGTTCCTGGTGGCTTTATAAGAAAAGAGAACAGGTGTGTGGGCGTGCACACACACACACACACACACACACTCACTCCCTGTCTGCTGCCATGTGAAGCCCCCATCTACCTTGGGACTTGGCCATCAACAAGGCCATCACCAAATTCAGGCCTTGACCTGGCACCTGCAGAACCATGAACTCAAAGAAACCTGCTTTCTTTATAACTCTCCCACTCCGGGGCCCTGGGTTATTGGCAACAGAAAATGAACTAAGACATTGTGCTGCCCTTGCAATCCTCCTCTTCGCCTCTCTCTGCCCAGCCCCTCGCACCAGTCCCAGTCTCTCCAGTACTTTGAAGCTCTGTGCCAGTATTTGGTGCAGCCAAAACTCAGCTTCTCCATCCTGGAAAACACAATGCTGGCAGTGAGGCTGTGGCATGCAGGGAGTCCAGGCCATCTGCTTCTTTTTCCAGTCACTGTGGAAAGGTGAGAGCCTATAATCCCAGGAGCAAGGATCACCTACCCCAGCCCAACTGTCCCAGCAGTGGTGTTGCAGAGGACAGAGTCAGGTTCTAGAGGGCTGTGCTACAAAGTGGATTTATTTTTGTACTTATTTAATTATTTATTTTGAGGGATTAAAATAGTTCTAATCCTCAGGATGTGACATACTGGCTGATACAGGGTTCTCTGTATTTAGTCACAAAAGTACTTTTAATATACCTGTGCTATGAGTAAGTTCCCTACACGATCTGGACCACAACCTGTGTCTAACCTGTGTTTTCCTATCCTTATCTCCTCTTTCCTTGCTGTGTTAGTAAGCTTTTTGTCACTGGCACATAATACCCAATGCCCACAACTTAGAGGAGGAAAGTTTTATGTAGCTCGTGGCTCAGAAGATTTAGTCCATGGTCACCTGGCTGCAAGGCAGAAACATCATAGTAGGAGGTCACGGCAGAGGACAGCTGCTTACCTCCTGGTGGCCAGGAAGCAAAGAGTGAAGGGAGAGAGCCAGAAAAGTTAGGGCTACAGTCAGGCTTCTACCCTTCGGTTCATGCCTCCAGTGGACTTACTCCCTCCAACAGGTCCCATCTATTAACAGCACATTCAGCTATAACCTCGTTAATGGATTAGCCCATTAAGTGATAAGGTTAGTGCCTGCCCAATGAGCCAATTGCCTTCCAAAAACTCCTCCTTTGAGCCAGGTGTTGCTGTGCACACCTGTAATCCCAGCACTTGGGAGGCTGAGGCAAAAGGATTGCTCTGAGTTCAAGGCCAGACTGGACTACATAGTACGATCCTGTCTCAAGCGCCCATCCTGAAAAAGCCCCATCTTTAAACACATGATTCTTTGGGGGGGCATTTTTATCTAAATCATAAAACCCATCTCAGTAACTACCACCTGAATCCCACGCTCATTACTTCTTGCTTTTTAAATATATTTTTGGATCTTTATATAGTCCTAGAAACTTTATTATAAGAATATAATGTTACAGATAGTGTTTGGGACTTGGTGTTTTTTGTTTGTTTGCATTTTCTTTCTTAATATCACATTGCTGTATAATATTCCACTGCCCCAACGGTTGTACAGTTTGTTCACTGTTCTGCAGACCAGCACCTGGGTTGTTGCCGGGTTTCTGTCCCCGTGGACCCTGCAGCCATGAACTTTCTTGTTGATGTCCTTGTGTACATCTGTGAGCATTTCTCTTGGGCGTTGCCCTACGAGCCAACCAGATGGGCTTTAGGGTACATGAATTTCAATTTCGGGAAATTTTGCCCAAGTGGTTTCCAGAATGGTTGCAGGGAGGCAGAAGTCCTTGAATCCTCCTCTTCTTCCCACTTGCTATGAAAAGACTAAATTTTTTAGTCACATTGGTATAAAATTGTATCTTGCCAGATGCAAATTAGACATGCATGTCTTCACACGTGTGATTCCTCTGACCAGCAGGCTGGTTCACGTCGCTTGCACATTTGGTTTTTCTCTTTTGTGGTCTGCATTTCCCTCTCACATATAAAAAATTCACGTTTTACATATCCTCAGGAATAATTTTCTGACAGTCTGCGGTTACTATCTCCTGGTGAATGGCTTATTTTTCACTTTTGTTACAGGGTCTCTTGACCTAGTGAATTTATCTGAACAAATAAAATGATGAACGCTGCTCTCCTCCATCTCCCAGATGACAAGTCGTTCCCAGTCTCCTTCCACCTTTGTTCCTTCCACCTTCTCTGTGTGTGGCCGCTATACATCTTTCCAAAAGCGCACATCTGACCCCATCCCTGCCTGATTTAAAACCTGCAAATCGTCTCTGTCCTTGTGGGCTGAAGGTCAAGTCCCGACCTCAGCTGTCGATGCTTGCTGTGACCCAGCCCCTGCACCCTCAGCTCTCGTGCCTCACGTGGGTTGGAGAGCTTCCCACTTGGTGTTTTTGCACACGCTCTTCCTTCAGCCTGGAGCATTCTTTCCTCCTGCCTCATCTGGCCTCGTCTGGCCTTGCCCTAGCCTAGCAGAGGGGATCACGGGCCAAAGCACTAGGCTTGGTGCCCTGAGGATGAGGCTCCATGGAAGAGTCCCTCTTCCCCTTCTCCAGGGAGGGGTACTGGGCGCTGCTGCTCATACAGCTTCTTACTCGTAAGACCCCTGGTGCCGCTTGGCTCAGGCACACTCCTGCCACATGCTTGCTCTCTAGGGCTCATCCAAATCAACCCCCCAAGACCCAGTGGCCAAAGATGGGGAGGACAGGCAACTCTTGGCAAGTGCGTACGAACCATGCTTCCTATTCATCTGGATCCCTTCATTTGAAGTCGCACAACCCCGGAATGGCAGTCAGATGGGATCTCAGAGATGAGCTGGCCCAACCCCTCTGTTGTAATGGAGTCACTTGTCCAAAGCCACCAATGGGTGGGACCCAGGTTCAGGCCATGGCTTCCTCCATGGACCCAGGCTTTACACAGAAAACATTTCATCTGTTTTCTAAGATCAGTTGGATCCCTTTTCTGTTACATACCCTGGAAAAATAAAGGCATTTCTATTGTGGTTGAATGGATTCTTCACACTGTGTTTTTGTTGGTATTGTTCTAAATTAACAAGGGAATGGCTTTCATTGTTGACTGCAGTTTGTTCTTGGGACCCTCCGTCTGGTGGCCAGTGGCTTTGAAAGCCTCTCTCAACCTTTAGATCCTGGTCTGCAGCCTACACAAGTCCTGCTCACATTTGTTCATGCTCTGATGAGACATCCAGGAGCCAGGCAAGGGTCCCACCTCCTGGGACTCTGGTGGCTTTGAAGGAGCCAGGCAGCAGCTCGGGGCAGAGTCCTCTAAGAGAAAGCACAAGGTGTCCCAGAGCCTGATCTGACAGCACTTAGGAACGTGACAGTAACTCGCTGTCACAGAACCAAAGATCGGGCCGTGGGAACACACCAGAGCCCGTCCCTCCGTGACAAGGCAACACTGATCTCTCATTGTCCTCCTGGCAGGGGATCGGGAGCTGTGACTTTGGAATCTGTGATTAAAGACATATTTGTCTGATATGCGAGAGCTGCTCTCCTATGAAACCGTGATGCCCTGAGCTGTGAGCCTGACCCCCAGTTACCCCAGTTATGTCCGTCACACATTCTCAAACAGTAGGGGCAGGGACGGAAATGCTGGGCCACAAAAGGCACGCCCGCAGGCACAGATGAGGTAAATACCCAAGCCAGATGCCAGAGAGACATAATTAGGTTAGTTACTAATTAGGGATGGGAGGGGTGGGGTCGTGTTCTGAAGAAAGACTGAATAAATAAGTCCCCTCAGGCACAATCTGCCGGGGGACAAGGGCTCATGCTGAGCCTAGCAAAGTGCCTTCCTAGGAAACACACACACACACACACACACACACACACACACACACTCACACTACCTCTAACTTCAAATTTTTCTGTTTGAAAAAAAATATGGTCTCACAGAGCACTCAAGTGGCCGCAGGAGAAACTGTTTATCAGGGTCCTTGGCTCTTCTGGTGTCCCTTTCACCAGCCTCTGTGTCCCCTGAGCGCAGGCCAAGGACCTCAACTTTGTTTTCTTGTCTACTTGTCCCCTGTATAGCTGACTGTACTAATGTGTGGAAATTACTCACAGCCTGAGTGGGGAAAGGTCCTCTGAGATAAACTCATTCATTTGGCTGGGCTGGGCTGGAGCCTGCCCTGGTCATGTTTTAGGTTCCCCGCTGCCCTCGCCACTGGCTTCTTCTTTACAGGGCACACAGGACCTCTGTCCATCCCTCAGATCATTGTCACTCTGGGTAAGGAGGTGCCCAAGAGTGGGCTGAGCCCCTGTCCAACAGAGAGGAGGGTGGTGCTTGACACTTTCTGTTGGCTTAGGCTGAAACCACTGCAGGGCACTGCCCTGTGCACCACAGACCAAGCACAGCAGGGAGGGACACGGGCAGGCTGGAGGCACCTGTTCCACCAGGACCTTTGTGACTTGAGTCGTGAACTTCTTGTGATGGCCTCATTTAGCTAACACCTGACACCATGAATATGGACCTGTTTCCTCCTGGGCGTTGAATCCAGGCTCAGGCTCGGCTTGCTGAGATGACTGCACCTAAACATAGCTCAATAAAACCAAATAACAGCAGATCAAATTCTCACACTTAAAAAATGATCTATAAGTGACAAATTCTGGGTGACAGTGAGACCCAGAATGGCTCATAATGCCAGTTCAGGATGCATCACCTGGCCATCTCTAACTCACTGCTCCTCTCCTGCAGCGGCACCGGCCTCGGCACAGGGGTATTGGCACCAAGATGGCAGAAACTCGCCCTAAGGAGCCGACAGCTCATGCGGGAGACAGGCACTTCGCAAATCAGTCTATCCTATGACTGGTGGGGATGACAAGCAGCAGAAAACACAGACTGGGCTGGAGGGAAGCTAATTTAGATGACAAGTCTCAGAGAAACCAATGCGGCAACAGCCTTGGTCCTCAGCCTGGTGCAAAGGACAGGGCTGGGCCGCTGTCCGTGGTGCCCTCAGGTAAACAGTTCAAATCCTCTGACCCTCTCTCTGCTGCTTTGGTGCAGAATGGTGGATCAGAGACTCACCTTTTGGTTGTGCGGCTGTGGACTGAACTGTACTCCCCACAATTCATGTGTTGAAGTCTCAACCCCAACATGACTAGTACTGGAGATGGGGTTGGTAGGAGTTAGTTAAGGCTGAAGGGCGTCATGAGTGTGGGGACCTAATCTGACAGGATGGGTAGTTTTATAAGATCTCCCTGTTGTCCTCTGCCTCCTCCTCTCTCCGCCATGTGAGGACACAGCAAGAAGGTGGCTGCCTACAAGCTAGAAAGGACCCTCATCAGAAACTGAATAAATTAGCACCTGGATCATAACCTTATGTCCCATGATGCTTAAACTCCTTGTCTGAAAGCTGAGCAGACTAAGGCAGCCCTGGAGAGGAAGTGACAGGTTAGCTGTAGCAAAACACAGGGCAAGGCTGTGGGTCAGCAACCGATGTCATTGTCCCTCTCTTCCACCATCATTCCCTGGAGAAACTTCATGACGACTTTTCTCCAAGGAGGATCTCCAGGGACTTTGAAAACAGGGGACACTTCTGACAATACACATCTTTCCATTTCTTAACTTTGACACTTCCCAGGAACAAGATATGGAAACAGGAGGGTGGTTATAAAAATGAAAGGAACCAGTAACCAGATGCCACATGACACCCACAGGTGTCAACACTGATGTGGGAAAACAATGGCAGCACAGGATGGCAAGACTGAACTCTTTCTCCTGTGTTCACGTATCTCCTTAAGGCTTTACTTCCCTGAGTAAGGTTTATCCCGTACAGTCCCAGCTCCACCAGGCCTTAACTAGTAGCTAATGTGTGTTGACTTAAGGTCTCAGAGGTTTTGGCTTCTGCTACGGCTTGGATGAGTGTCTCCCTGAGGTCTCTGTAGAAATTTGGTCCTCAGGATGGTAGCAGTGGGAGGAGCTTTGGACTTTTGAGAGAAGGGGCCAACTAGGAGGTCTTTAGGTCACTGGGAGCACACCCTCAAAGGGGGTTGGGGAATCGTAGCACCCCCCTCTCTCTGCTTTGGTTTGAGATGTGACTGCTCACTCTGACAAGTGTACCACCATCGTGGGCACACTCACCACAGGCTCTGGGTGACAGACAGGGCAACCCAATCTTTGACTTGAACCTCAAGAATCATGGACCAAAATAAACCTTTCTTTATTTCCCATGTAGCCTATGTGTGCCAGTTAAACGAATTATCAACTTGATTGGCTGAAGAGCTGCCCGGAGAATTAATTAGTAAAGCACACTTCTGAGTGTGTCAGGGTGGGACACAGAGATGTAGCCTTGAGTGCTATACCTAGTCCCTCACCCATCTCTCTGTCACTGTTCCCCTGCTCTGCTACCAGCTGCCATGAACTGGGCAGCTTTGCCCTGCTGCGACCTCCTTCCACCATGATGTTCCTGCCTTGGAACCAGCTGAGTATGGACTGAACCTTCGGAAACCGTGAACCGAACTAGATGTCTCCTCTAAATTTTGGGTGCTGGGCATTTTCTCTGAGCACAAAGAAAGCCAACCAATAATCTGTGTCAGACATTACGTGGCAGTGATGGGAAGCTGACTAATGCAGTCAACCTAAGGAGGCAGGCAGGTGCTGTGCAAACTTGCAGTCAACATTCCAAAGTGCAATCTGGCTTCAGATAAATGGAAAGGATGATGAGAAACGATGAAATGTTTTTACCTTAGTAGAAAGGATCTACAACATGGTCAGGCCAGGTGCAAACTTCTGGCCTTGCCAGTTCATGAGGGCTGAGTCTGATTGATCCTTGCAGGGAAGATTAGCAGAGGAAACCATGGCAACCATGAGAAATAATACTTGTGACTGCCTTTGTGGGGTATGACTTGTTTTGATTACTAAATGATCGGACTCATTTTTCTTCCAGCTGGCAGTGGAATTCAATAATCTCATGCCCTTCCCGAATTTTAGACCTGGGAAACGCATTCCACATTTCAAGGGAGAAAATACCTGTGGAGCCCAAGCCCTAAATAGTGTGGCATTATGTTTGTGATTCTCTGTTGGTTGCCTGGTAGCAGCTGTACTTGAATTTGAACATCTGTGTTTCTGGATCTCAGAACACAGTGCAGAAGCTATGTCAAATTAAAAGCAGGTGCCTTTAGTTATCTGAGTGCTGTAACTGAGGTGCATTTGTTAATCAGGCTTTCAAAAAATCTGTGAACATTCCAGGAAGCATCAATTCACTGACCTACCTCTAATGTAAGCAAATGCTGCCAGGGAGTTGCTAACAATAATTCCATCTTTCTGCAGAACCCTTGATTCGCTTGGGTCGAAGTTTATACCTGTTTTATAAAAAAAAAAAAATGCAAAAGCAGTTAATCCAGGTTGTTTGTAATACACTTGTCCTAGATACCTATGCTGTTCCTCACCCAGGACTGTTGCAATAACCAAAAGTCACAGAAATAAAAAAAAAAATGGGCTTTTGGTTAAATTATGGAAGACTAAGCCAGGAAGAATACTTTGTAAGCAGCTCTTACCGAACAATAAAAGGGGTCTTCCCAGCAGGTGCCTGACTGTGGCCCAAGGGCCATCTACCTTTACCTAAAGAGCAATGCTAGCAGTAAGCCAGAAACATTACCATGTCCACCATCCTCCTGCTCCAAGGTAGGCTTCGGATTAGCAATGGCTGGATCGATCGCTGTGAGAATGTTCTTGGGAACTAAAAACCAAACAGAAATATTTTGAAAACTTGGTATATTTATTAAAAGTGTACATTTAATATATACTTGAATACTTCTCTGCCCTAAAGAGAGACAACCCTGAGTCATTTGTAGGGAAATGCATCTCGAGACCCACCATAATGTTAAGTGACAGAAATCAGACACACAAGCTTAAGTATCACGTGGTTTCTCCCTATATGAGAAGCCCAAAGGATAAATAAAAAGCAAAATCAGACAGATGATAGGAAGTAGGGAAGAAGATCTTTCTAAAAGGATCAAAAGATGGAGGGGTGGGAGGGAAAGGAAAAAAGGTTGAAAAAAGGAATTAATATGCATTACGGGGCTGGGGATTTAGCTCAGTGGTTCTGCCACCTGTCTTGCAAGCTCAAAGACCCAAGTCCAGTTCTTGGTACCAAAAAAAACAAAAAACAAAAAACAAAAAAATATGTATTACGTACATGTAAGAATTCCCCAAAAGGAATGTAAGTGTTATGTGCTACAAACATGTACTAATAAAAAATAAATTAAAAATATGTTTAAGGTATAATGTAGATAATATTTATTTATTTGTTTGTTTGTTTGTTTATATGGGTGATCAAACTCAGGACCTTGAGTTTGCAAGGCAGGCGGTGTCACCACCAAGCTAAGTCCCTGGCCCTGGATAATATTTTAAAACCACTTTTCAAATCAGTTGAAGAATTCCTCATTTCCTTTCAGATATACCCACAGACACACGCACACACTCACACACTCACACACACACACACACACACACACACACACTCCCATGTATACCAAAGGTATCTGTATGCTCATTAAATGTCCCAGAAAGGTGAAATTATATACCCATTTTTGCAATGTTGAAAAGCAAAAAAATGGGAAATAAAAACACAAGTTATGGTGGAATGCAATTAATAACAAAATTAAGTATTAATACATGCTGGAAAGATGACCCTCAAAAACATTAGGCTCAGTAGAAGAAGCCAGGCACAAAAGACCCTATGTTGTAGGATTTCATTTATATGAAATATCCAGCAAAAGTAAAACTGGAGACAGAAATAAGCTTAGTGATTCCCTGCGACAAGAGGCAAGAAAAGGAACTGACTGCTAATGAGCCCGGAAAACTTTTTGGGATTGTGGAACTATTTTAAAGTTGGAATGTGGTATTGCTCCTTGGCCTTTGGTCTAAGATCAAGTGTAGCAAAACTGGAGTGTGGTGATGGTTGCACAACTCTAAATGTTTTATCACCGAATTGTATTTACCTTAAATGAGTGACTGTTAAGATATATAAGTAACTCCTCAATAAAGCTTTCAACTCCTACACGAACTTCTCTGAGGGCACACCACTGAGGACAGGACCATGCGGTGCCCCGAGAGCAGGCAAAGCAGCTGACGGATGACAGCTAACACAGAACAAAGCAAGAATTGTGAAAGGCCAAGCCCACTGCCTGCTGCTGCAGGCTGGGAGAAGAGACAGGAAGCCGAATGCTCTTGCTGCCCAGAATTGCTCGTTATGTTTGTGGTTGAGCTCAGCTGATATCTGGGAGGAGCGGCAACAGGAAGTACAAGTGAAGAAGTGAAGCCAAATCAAATGGTGCAAGTTCAACCGCACAGCGAGAGAGAGAGAGAGAGAGAGAGAGAGAGAGAGAGAAACTGGTGAGATATCTTCAGCAGCAAGAAAACCTCCTTTCCATTCTCAGGGTGCGTAACTGAATTCTGGCGCATGTGGGGGTCCCGAGATCGACAGTCAGAGGACATTCCTAGCCTGTGAACTGTCCATGTATAGGAAGCTCTGGTGCTTTCAGGCCCATTAGCAGCAAGAGTCACAAGAGGCCGTGACAAGTGGCCTTTGGCCAACCCTTGGGGCTCACCGGGACCACGGCAGCACCCAGAGAGCTGAGCTGAGCTGCCGCCACGTACTTTCTAGCTAAATAACTCAATCTTTTCTGGGCACCAAGAATGATGCCCCTAAAGACAACGTGTCTTCCTTCTCCAATAGCAGTGGCACTTCCTCACACCAGTCTCTTGGCTCATTCTCAAAACAAGTCTTGAGAAGAATCTCTGCTCTCTACAAATGCCAGAGACTTTACATTGAAGGAGTCAGAATTTTCTAAAGGAGCTCGGAGAAGAAGGGTCTGCCAGGATGATTTTTGCAGAATAACCAGGCTCTTGAGATTACACTGCCCATGTAGAATGCAGGTCATTATGAGAAACTTGCCCATTTATCACAAGAAAATGAAAGTGATGTTAGAAGAATCTTTTAGGATATTTAACATAACATGTGTCAATACAACTGTCAGATTTTTCAAACTAGTTTAGAATGAGGATGAGAGCTGAGGTGCAATTTGTTATTCCTCAAGCCTCCTTGTCTAACCCTCCCCGCCTGATTTTTTTTTTGCCAGCATACCTTCAACAGTCCACCATTATAATCACTCACTGAAAGTCTCTCAGCTTCAACCCTCTCTCCCTCTTTGCTTGTTGCTAGTGAACTTGGAGGAACACTCTTCTTACCTATTCTTGGGGCACCTGATCCCCACTGAGAAGAACAGCACTGCTGGGTAGACCAGTTGTCCCTGAGAACTTTGCCTACTAATCCTACACAGGCTTTCAGCATACCCAGCAGTGCGACTGCAGTGCCCTTCCATCTCCATGGCACTTCTGTCAAACCTTTTCTCATCTCTGCAGACCTCTTTCCTCTTCCCCCATGCCCCACAGCTGGTGACTTCATCTCATACAATTTTTTTTTTTTTGGTACCAGAGATCAAACTCGGGTCCTTGCGCTTGCGAGGCAGGTGGCAGCGCCACTGAACTAAATCCCCAGCCCCATCTCATACTTTTTTGAGATAGAGGCCATGTGATGGAAACTCCAAGATCTGCCTACGTCCACCATTTCCATGGCCTGTTCCCTCCTGTTTCAAGAGATACATAGCATCTTTCTGTCAAAGATCAATCCATCCTCTCAGCTGCAACCAGACCCCATCCTTCCAATACATCATTGTCTTGAGCATCTGTTTCTCTCTTCCAGATAATTGTCAGATCCACCCAATGACTACTATGTCTGCCAGTGCCACTCTAGTCTGAGTATGTTTGCCTCCTGCTTTTCACTTGTCCGCCCTGCTTCAACTCTGCCCTGATCCATTCGTCCCCCTGACCCAGTGAGATCTTTTCCATTGCATCACAAAGCAGAGCACATGGAGAGCTCACACTTTTCTTTTATGTTTCAGTCTAGATGTGATACCATTGATCACACCTATTTCTAAAATGAAGGAGGCAGAGAACATAGACTCCTGTGTATTCAGAATCTGATCGTTTGCTTCCCCTGTTTGAATCCTCGCAGGGCATCCCCTCTGAAGACCTCACAGACTTTAACCTGGTCCTGTCTCGTGCCCCCGACACTGTCTTCCTTCCCACAAGATTTCCCCCTCCCACTCATGCTCACCCAACCTCCAGAGAGCAGCCTGTGGTTGACCCCAGAGGAAAGCTCAGCTTAGGAATATTTCTCACACCAATGTCCCCAGTCCAATGAGGCTGTCTCATCTGCCCTTTCCTGATACAGCACTTAGCACACCGAGTAATGGTAGATTTGTCTGGTTACTTGTTTAATGCCCTCCTGTGCCCTGACTTAATCTCATGAGGACAGAGAATAGGTTGTTTTGTGTACTACTGAAAGCTTAGTGCCCAGCATGGCTCCTGCCACACAGAGCCTGACCCCCGCCCCGGTGTGCAGAGTGAGTGAATGAGAGAAATCAAGCATCAGTTGGGACACATGGACCCTCGCACAAGCACCACCACCAAGCTCACCTTCTTGATATGAGCTAAGCAGAGCCATAGCCCTTGTAACTCTGCTTGCCTCACCCTTTAGACACATGCGAACTTTCCTCCATTGGCAGGTTACAGTCCTGTGTCTCAGCCAGCACTCATCTGAAGCAGCCAGAAAGGACTAAATTCTCAGGGTGAACCCTAGGGAACCTCTGCCAGATAGGCTCAGTGCCACTGAGAATTGCTTAAACACCACAGTGGGAAAAAGACTGCAGGTAAACTCAGCCTTCCTGCAGTGTAAATGTAGGTGCTATTATTTTGAGAATACATTTATGTAGTTTTACCTCTGTACCTATTACAGCATTAATACAGCAGGGAGCAAAATTTTGGGCTCAGCATATAAAAGTCTGAGGATACAATGGAACATTATTAGGCCACGAAGAGGAATAAAGTCATGACACACGTACAGCGTACTTGAACCTTGAAAATGTATACTAAGAAGCTGGACTTAAGGGCTACATACCTTGTTTCTTTGAATATAAAACCTAGCTGGAAAATAATCAGCCTTGAAAATTAGAGCCCCCAAATGCCAGCCATCACCATGGTAATGGCCAGCACTTATTTTTCAGTTAGGTCTTATTTTCAGGGAAACATGGATACAATTCCACTCAGATGAAATGCGAAGAAGAAGCAATTACATAAAGACAAAAGCAGCCTGGTGGTTGTCTAGGGTTGGGGATGGGGTACAGGGGATGGGTTGGGGGGAGATGCTAAAGAAAGATGAGAATGTTCTTAAATTGATGTGGTGATGGTTGCATAGTTCCATGAATATGTTAAAAACTATTAATTTGTATATTTTAATGGGTGAATTGTATGCTCTGTGAATTATATCTCTATAAAGCTGTAACAGCAACAAAAGGCTAGGGATATTTGGCAGGGTAAAAGGTATTAAGTTCTCTAGTGATAGAGCTCTTTCTTCTCTTTTGCTTTTATGCTCAGTTAAGGAAAAAATAGTCAACATATTAGGATTACAAACTGGGCATCCATAGTACCTCAGAAAATAACTAAATGCTAATTTGCTTTTATGCACCTTTGTGAAACTGGAATCTAAACAAAGCAGGCATTTTGTTTTATTATTTAAAGACATTAGAAAAACAAAGTGGTGCCACCATGTAACGTTTTTAATTGTTCTAGGGGAAGCATTTGATCTGTTGACTCGATGCTGTGGGTATGTAGATAAAACAACTGTTGGCAGCCTAGCAAGTTAGTCATTTAGGGCCTAAAAGCAGGGCTGGAAGGTTAAATCGAAACCAAGCAGCACTCTGTGAATTTGCATGACACACCAATAGATTTGAGAGCTCCTTAAGAACCCAGATTAGAATCACACTTCTCAGGGACATCAAGTTTATCCCTAGTTGCTCAATATTCTCCTACTCTTCCTATCTACTGCCAATCTGATTGTTAGAAGTGCTCTTCAAAACAAATTTTGACCCCAGAAAATTCCAGTGCTTATCTGATGTACGCATCATAAATAAGAATAAAAGATAGAAGGGGGGTTCTGGAAAGTCTGGAGTGACTAGAGAGCTTCCGGTGTAGAGTTGCCTGGCTTGTTCCAAGCAAGCTCTTTCTGTTGACTTGATCACTGGTTCCCAGAGAGGCAGGCTCTTCAAGGAGCTTGTTGGAGGTGGACTCTTACCACACGCGTAGGTAACAGTGAGGTATTTCTTCACTCCTGGCGGACAGGGGCTTCCGAAGTGGTAATTGTTGACAAGGATTTTGCATCTCTGCTTCCCATAGCACCTTCTGGACAGTACTTGTAAAGCTGAGTAAGATAAGCAATCTGGAAGGGAAAGAGCAATGAGAACTTCCGGTAGCATCCCACCCTTGGCTGCCACATGGCTTACGGTGGTTTCTGTAAGCGGACATACAGAGCTGGATCTCACATCAAAGACAGTTCCTCTGATTATTTCCTGTCTCCTTACAGCACCAAAGATGAGCAGCACCAGGTCTACAGTCATGTTCTAGAAAGCCCTAATCTTGGTTTAATTTTCTGCTGCCACTATCTTGACATTATGATTCAGTTTTGAACAAAGGTACCCATATTTTGGCTTTGTTACATATAGAGTATGTAACTGGGCAAGCAGGACAGATAAAAGAAGTTTCTGTTTCTTTTTTTTTTTTTGTCTTGTGTTACTGGGGAGGGAACTGAGGGGCACTCTACCACTGAGCTACATTCCCAGCCCTTTTTACTTTTTTCTTTTGAGACAGGGTCTTGCTAAGTTGCCCGTGCTGGACTTGAACTTGTGAGTCTCCTGCCTTAGCCTCCCAAATAGCTGGAATTATAGGCATACACCACCATGTCTGCTTTGTTTCTCTTATGACCCTTAAAACTCTGTGAAATAGTTCATTAATTTAAAACTCCCTCTCTGCCACGGGAACATAAGCTTCATAATGGAATACTTCTACCTTGTTTGTCATCTAAACTCTACTGGCCACTGTAGGAGCCCAGTAAATAATTGATAAATGAAGGACTAGAATGAACTAATGAATGCTAGGACATGTTTTTCAGCACCTTGAAACGATGACTTTGTGATTAGTAAGTATTAATTGAACAACTGCTGCTATGGTTTGAATGTGTACACCAAAATTTATGTGTTGGAAAGGTAACTGTCAAAGTCACATGCTAATGGTAGCAATGGGAAGTGATTAGGATTAGATGAAGTCGTGAGGATGGGTCCACCATGGCTCGTCAATGGTTCTATAAGAGGCAGAGAGACCTGAGCTAGCACTCTTGCCCTGTCTCACCACATAATGCTTTCCACCATATCAGATGCAGCAAGAAAGTTCTCACCAAATTCTGGCCCCATTTCTCAGACTTCCAAGCTTCTTAAACCAAGTAAACCCCTATTCTTTACACATTACTCGGTCTCAGGTATTTTGCTACCACAACAGACAATGACTAAGACACCTACAGAGAATGAGGGACTGTGGTGCATGCTGTCAGAAAAACCAACCAGAAAGCTCTACCTTGAATTCACAGGCTATGCAGTGGGGCTGGAGGGACAAGACTCAGGTGAGAGACCACCATCTAACAGTAGAACTCTGTGAGTGAATATCAGCAAGGACCAGCTCAGACAGGTCCTGAGGTTGAGGGTCAGAGGGGTCACTATTTCTGGAGTGGTGAGGATAGGCTTTACACAGGAGGTGGCATGGTCATGGAAGAAAGCACGGATTGGGTAGATCAGGCAAAAGAGAAATGTATGAACCCATGGGGAAGGAGCCAAGAGCACCCGAGAGGGCTGGGCACGAGTAGGAGGAGTGGGAGGATGGGAGGGTATCCTGTGGGAGGGCATCCCAGGAAAAGGGGCGAGCACCTTGGGCAAGACTGAGGGCCCAGGAGCCTAAAGTGATGCCTTCCACTACTGACCTTCAGGCACAGAGAGCAGGACAGCCTGGAGGGAAATGGACCAAAGGCAAGGAGAATAGTTTGGAAGAGATTTAAATTACACAAGGGGGAGTTAAGGGAGTGAAGAGCAGGGAATGGAGGAGGGAATTTAGGGAAATTGCAACATTCTATTTACTTATAACAACGGCTGACATCCCACTCTTCTGGACATTGTACGTTAGCTGATTCAGTGTCCCCGACAGCCCTCTGAGACAGGCTGCTTGTAACACACGTGCACACATACATGCATTTGAGGGTGAGAAGGGAGATGCAGGGACGTTCTGGAAGCTCAAGTGGGCGCGGGACTATATAGGCCATGGGAGCAGCACTCCAGGGCCTGCAGGTTTGAGCTCTGAGCTCTGCTCTCCAAGTAGGTGGTTGAAGAGAGGGGGAGGGAGGGAGCTACCCAGGACGCCTGAAGATCTTACACTGCAGGAAGGGGGAAACAATGGTGGGGTGCTGTTGACCACGACTGAGGGAAGCAACAGGAGTAGGCAGTTTGTGGAATAGAGCCATTGTCTTAGTCATTTTCTCATCACTGCCGACAGAATACTTAACGCCCTCAAGGGAAAGGAGGTTTAGTTTGGCTCACGTTTTTAGTCCAGAGCTGGCTGACTCAAAGTCAGGAAGTCACGTTGGGGGGGGTCTGGTGGAAGAAAGCTGCTTACGTCCTGGCGGTCAGGAAGCAGAGAGAAAGGTGGGGCTGGGGAGGGAGTTCCACCCCTCCAGGCCACGCCCCCAGTGACCTGCCTCTTCTGGCCAGACCCCACCTCCTAAGAGTAAGCCAGCTCTAAGCTCCCATAATCCAGCCACCTCCCACACAGGTGAGGCTTTGGGGAACATTTTAGATCTAAGCTGTAACAACGATACATTCACTAAACAAAAATTACTGTCCTACATCTGTGATGGAAAGAATGTGTCGATCCAGAGCTGCACAAGGTGGGTGAGGCCTGAAGAGCATGAAGGCTGGAGCTCAGAGGGACAGCTACAGCAGGTATAGAGGTAGGGACTCCGGCGACACAAAGTCTTGTGTGCATCCATTCATATTTTGTACATGAGAAACTCTTCCCTCCAACAGTGCTGCTCTCCCATATCCCAGAAGCTGTCTCAAGCCCGACCTCTTCCCTTTAAGGTCAGGTTTCTGAAAGTGTCCTTTGGCCACGCCCCACTGCCCCTGACTCTCTGCGTCTCTTCCCACTCCCACTGTGTCCCCTCCTTCCTCGGTGTGCTCTGTCCCACACATACCCTGAAACTGACTCCTTTCGGAGGATCACGGGCACCTGCTACTGTCCTACATAAGAGATGGAAGCCAGTCCAATCCCTCCTGTACCACTGGAACTTCTGGTGTCTAAATGCTCTTGTGGAAAGATTCCTTGCTGACCTTGGCTCCCTAGTTCCCTTCACCCTACCTTGCCTCCCATTCTTTTATTCCACAGCCCTCTGCAGGACTGTCCACCCAAAGTAAGCTCCTTCATGGGTCTCAATCTGAATTCTCTCCTCCCATGTACATCTCCAGCTGAACCACGGTTCCACCCCTGGATTTGCAGCCCAGCCAGTCTTCAGAACTCCACTCCAGGGAACAGTCGCCTGGACTACCTTTCCAGGAACTTCTCTCTCCAGCGTGGAGACCAAGGCTAGCATCTCATCCCACTCAGCACCAATGGCCAAACGAGATAACCTACCCTGCCTGTTCACCCAGATTCAATTCTTGGATTCTTCCTATTCTTGGCCTCTATGGCTGATACTAACATTGTCACAGGAGCCCCAGAGTGAAGCCAGTTTCTGCCTCCTCCTCGTCCTCTCACCTTCCCATCTGATAGGACACAAGAAGCCAGAACAAGAGGATGAATGAGAAGAGCACAAAAACTGAGCAAAGGAGAGAGGCTAAGTGATCGATAGAGGAAAGGTTTCAGGAATGCAGGAATAGTTGCATTTGAAATCTGTGGCCCAGCTGGGGGAAAGTGGGAGGTGGATGGTCAGGGCACTAGAAAGTCAACGGCAGGGCAAGAAGTGTGCACCTGAAGTTTTTGTCTGGAGTTTTCAGTTTGGGCAATGGAGAATGTGGGAGCATTATCATAATGCATATGGAGTGAACGAATCACCAAGGAAGGAAAGTTTACGGTTTGTCAAGACCTAGCCCCTTACTCTGGGTTTCTGGGACTGCAGTGGGTCAGGAGAGGGCTGAGGACCTAATTCCTCCAGTGCTCTCAGCTGTTTATGGACAAACCACATGTTGTGGGTGGTGATGAATCAGCCTGATGTGCATGGGGTCTTATGGAAGCCAAAGGTGCTTGCATAGAAGACAGATTAGGGCTGTGCTATGGTTTGAATGTGTCCTCCCACCGTTCATGTGCTGGAGACAGCCCCGTGAGTCCCCTGAATCCTATGTTGATGGTGTCTGGAGACAAGGCCTTTGGGTAGTTATCAAGGTTAGATGAGGCCATGAGGGTGGGGCCACCATGAAGGCATTACTAGCTCTACAAGAAAAGAAATAAAGGGCTAGAGATTTAGCTCAGTGGCACCACCTTGCAAGCACAAGGTCCTGAGTTTGATCCCTGGTATAAAAAAATAAAATAAAATAAAAAAGAAAGAAAGAAAAAAAAATGAAAGAAAGATGTGAGCTAGCACACTTGTTCTTTCTTGCCATGGAACACCCTCTGCCACATTATGATGGAGAAAGAAAGCCCTCCCCGGATGCCAGCACCATGCTTTTAGATCTCCCAGCCTCCAGAACTGTGACTCATATAAACTTCTCTTCTCTATAAGTTAATCCCCTACCAAGTATTTCCTTATAGCAACAGAAATCAGACTAAGACAAGCTAACATAAAAGACCAACACATCTGCTGAAAGGAAAGCATCAGAAAGAGAAGCAAGAGTCTCTAAGTCAGGGGGGAATACAAGGTCCAGGCAACCTAAAAGGCTGATACACAGAGGGGGGCCACAGCCGTGAGTCAAATGGGTGAGCACAGTGTCTGGCCCAAATCAAGAAATGGTAGTTCGCCTGGCACAGCTGCAGCCATCTCCAGCGCCAGAGGGCCTGCTGACATCCAGGAGATATCAGCAGATATCCAGGAGATTAAAAACTCCACTGAGAGTGTTTGCAACAGAATAAAAGAGTCTGAAGATAGAATCTCAGATATAGAAGATAAGATTGCAGTCAGTGACCATGAAAAGAGAGGTCTCCTAAAAACAGTAGGAGATCATGAGAAATTGATCCAACAACTCCTAGATGATTCAAAGAAGAATAACATAAGACCGATAGGAATCAAGTAGCAGGAGAAAATGCAAATGACTTAAAAAAGCTGTTCACAGAATTAATTATAGAAAACTTCCCAAACAGTGGGGAAGAATTTGACATACAGATAAGTGAGGGATATAGGACTCCAACTAGCTG